TTTGTAAACAAAGGGGGTCAAATTGGAGGTATGTTATAAGCTGCTAATTGTAATACCTCTTGTTTCATTTTGTTCATTATTTTCTTTCATATCCGTGAAAATGTCACTTTCATGAATAGACAATAGTTTATAATGCACTATTCTTAACTTAGTTTTACAGTGCAGAACTAGATTTTCGGTTCCCGGTTGGGGCTCCATTACACGGGATAAGAGCATTTTTGACCACAAATCAGCTTAATGTAAGTGCGCTGTGTATTCTGTTACCATACTGTTATGATTGTTTGACTGGATCAAAAGTATTATGCAAGAAAAGAAAACTATAGTTGTGTCGTGTGTGTGCGTTTTTGCCTCCTTGGGGCTGTCACTGCATCTAATTTTACATACTGTTTATGTATCAGACTTATGATAAGGCTAGAAATGCTGTGGCTCTTGCACTGAGTCCAGTTGTCCGAGCTCTTGTTGATCCAGATGGTGCATTGAGGGACATAAGGAATTTGGATAGTGTAAGAGGGTGCTATTTTCTTGTTATTTTTGGTCCCTTTCCAAATAATATTTTCTGATTATTTATCTTCTTAGCTTTATATTTAGACGACTTCTACAGTTACGGCTTTGGCTGTACACCAAATTTAAGTCTATTGTTTCACTTTGTACCATGTTTGTCAATCTTGTGTTCTTTTAACTATTATGTGCATTTCTTCCAGATTAGCTTTTCAGACTGGTTTATGTCTAAGGGTGGCACGCGCACGAGTATTAAAAAAATGTGGGATCCAGTTGCCTATGCCCTTGGGTTTATTGACTGTGATAATATCAGTGCCCGTTGCATGCTCACCATATTTGCATTGTTCGCCACAAAGACCGAGGCTTCCCTTTTGCGGATGCTGAAGGGTTCACCAGATGTTTATTTGAGCGGACCTATCCAGAAGTACATCACAGATAGAGGTGGAAGGTATAATCCGGAGATAAGATTATTTCCACTCATAACTATCCAAATTTCTCCCTATGTAGATTCTCATTCATTGCTGGAACAGGTTCCACCTTAGGTGGGGATGCAGAGAAATACTTTATGATAAATCTGCTGATGGGAGCACTTATGTTACAGGTCTTTCCATGTCAAAGGTGACGAGCTTTATCTGTTCTATTTAAAATCTTTACATGCTTGGTTAGATTTCAAATAATATTCTAAAAGTCTTGATATTTATTTTTTCAGGCTACTGACAAGAAAATTGTGGAAGCTGATGCTTATGTTGCTGGTTAGTAGTTTGCGTGTCTTTGTTTTTGTATTATTTTCATGTGACCGCAACAATCTATAATGCCTCGACTTATCATTGACTTGATATCAGCCTGTGATGTCCCTGGAATTAAAAGATTAATCCCATCAGAGTGGAGGGAAAAAGAGTTGTTCAATAACATATACGAACTTGTTGGAGTTCCTGTGGTTACAGTGCAACTCAGATACAATGGTTGGGTTACAGAATTGCAGGATCTAGAACTGTCAAGGTAATTCTCGAAATTTTTGGCTTCATAAGAAACTGCGATATTGGATATTTTGTTTCAAGATCGAGCGATGATATAACTCCTTTGATCAATAGTTGGTACATTTCCTTATGAACCCTTACATTCTGGATGGCAGGCAACTGAGGAAAGCTACTGGGTTAGATAACCTTCTCTATACTCCCGATGCAGATTTTTCTTGCTTTGCAGACCTTGCACTTGCATCTCCTGAAGACTATTACATTGAGGGACAAGGATCGTTGCTCCAGTAAGTGATGTTATGTTAAGTTGTTTGAGAATTAATTTCGAGAAGCTTCTGTGAGTTTCTTTAGTGTTTCATATTCAGTATACTGATATTTATATACATGAAAAAATAAACAGGACTTATAATTACGATGATTGGACTATTTTCTACAATCATAATAACTACTTTAATCATTTCCGACAATTTACATATATAATCATCCATGGCTAAGTATGTTATGCCACGGATGAAACTGCACCATCTGTTCATCATGCAACTTGTAGTTCATGTAGTAGTGCTAATTTGGATAAACTTTTTCTTAGAGGAAAAAGAAAGTTGAAATGATCTTGCAATGGCCAACATATGTTAATTTAACATTTAATTTTTTTGTTGACCTTCTAAGTATGTAATTTCATTTATCCATCTGTCAGATGTGTTCTGACACCAGGAGATCCATACATGCCCTTGCCAAATGAAGAAATTATTTCAAGAGTAGCAAAACAGGTAGTTAAAAAATGTGTGGTATTTGTTATGGTTTTGTTGTAATGATCTTTTCATTATTGTTTTAGTAATGGCACGAAAGAATGCACATCTTAAATTGATTTTAAAATTGTTATCAGGTCATATCACTATTCCCATCATCTCAAGGTTTAGAAGTGACTTGGTCATCTGTTGTTAAAATTGGCCAATCTCTGTACCGTGAGGGACCTGGCAAAGATCCATTTAGACCTGACCAAAAGACACCGGTGAAGAATTTCTTTCTTTCTGGCTCTTACACAAAACAGGTTAGCTCAAAATATCCTTCACCCTCTTGACTAACATTATACTCGTGCTTGTCTTATCAATACCTTCAAGTTTGCAGGTACTGATATTTTTTGTGGCTTAAACATATGAGATCCTATAGAGGATCATAATCTATAAATTCTTGCATAGGTGCCTCTTTGGGCTTCAAGTGTGAATGAAAAGATTTTATAAAGTGATGTTTTTTTTTTATTCTAACAAGAACTAGCACGGAACACATCAATGCACCATGATTTTTTGCAAATGATATAAGTCTTAATTGGAGGAAGATTTAAATGAGAGGTCGAAGATGAGCCTTAGAATTGCATGACTTTTGCCTAAGCAGAAGTAAGACACAATATATGGAATGTAAGTTCAGCAAAAGGATAAGCGTTTTTGACCTAGAGGTAAAAGTTGAAGACCATATCATTCTACTAGTCACGCGGTTTAAATATGTTAGGTCCGTAATATAAAACGATGGAAAATAGAAGGGGATGTAAACCTTTAAATTCAAGCCGAGTGGCTGAAATGGAGGACTTCAGGGGTTTTATGTGACACAAAAGTACCGCTCAAGCTGAAGGGAAAATTTTATCGAACAATGATAATATCTGTGATATTATACAGCACAAAATATTGGACAGTTAAGAATCAGCACGATAATAAAGTAGGTGTAGCAGAAATGAGGATGTTGTGTTGGATGTGTGGTAAGAATAGATGGGTAAGATTAGAAATGAAAATATTAGAGTGTTAGGGTAACACCCATAGTAGAAAAGAAGGGGAAAAATAAGCTTTTAGGTGGTTTTGACTTGTAGAGAGAAGATCCGTAGATTATATGGAGAAGAGTCAAACAACTAGAGATAGAGAAAGATCTAGAAAAATTATTAAGAAATATCTTGAGAATTGAGATTAACGAATTGGATAGAAACATGATCTTAGATAGATCATTATGGCCGAATTTGATTCATGTAGCCGATCCCATTTAATAAGATTAGACTTCGTTGTCGCTGTTGTAACAAGAAATTCCTGCTTGCTGCTGCATTTGATTGAATGGAGGATCAAGTGTCGGTTGTGCCATCTTATATGAAATACCTTGATATGATGGAAGGAGTTATGATGTTTTATTTTACTCGCAAGAGTTAACTGGCATGTGGAAAAAAAATATAAGGATCAAGAAATATTGCATACACCTTTCTTTAGTAAGGTTTGTATTAGTAGGTACTTTATTGCCATGCTTGTCTTTATCATAAAACAAACTCAACTAATATTCCACTACTTCTGGGAATAGAGCTTGCTCGAATTTATCAAATGGGTTTCACCTTTCCTTTTGACGTTGTGTTCAACCTTTTTATCAACCAACTTTACTTTCTAGTCGATGTCAACGTTTTTAGGAACTCTTACAATGTGTTTGTCCTGTAATTGCCACATGTTTTCTCCAGTGTCACAACAGTCTCTATCTATCTATGTTTTACTGATATTGCTGACTTCTATTGTTTTATCTAGTTGCATGCTGAAATATTTGATCTCTTCAGGATTACATAGACAGCATGGAAGGCGCAACCTTATCCGGCAGACAAACCTCAGCTTATATCTGTAATGCAGGGGAAGAATTGGTGGCATTGCGGAAGGAGCTTGTTGCACAGTCTAATAACGACGTTAAATTTACAAACACTAAAGATGAATTGAGTTTAGTATGAGGAATGTTCAGATAAACTAGTCTCGTTATATGAAGAAAGCTTGTTCTTTATGCATGTAATATTTTATGTTGTATATTTAATCAAAAAGCAATTACAAAATTGTTAGTATTGCAGCAAATAGTGCTGTTTATACTTGTGAATTATGGTGTCTATAAATTGTGATTCGTATTCAGTGACACCCTTAATAATGAGGTACAAGCGGATTCATTTAGAGTAAATAATAAATTATGTTTCTATAAACTCTTTTTTTACGACGTCTCTTTAAACTTATGTTACCTTGCCCCCTCAAACAAATAAAAATAATAACAATGATGTCACTATCAAGCTTTTCCATGTAGATTAGTTCTGAATTTGAAGTTTTAAGCAAATAGAAAATCATGTATACTACCAAGGTTGGATTAGGTAATTCTAAAGTTAACTCCAATTTGTTCTCTACCAAATTTTTAACTAACAAATTATTGTCACTTCCAGCCAAATCAAGGTTAAGGTAAAATATGCATCACTTGATAAAAATCATATATTTCTTGATCTTTACAAAAATCATGGAAAATTTCATCGAAAAACCAGACATCCACTATAGGCATTTATCTTTTTAGGTGCAATTGTCAATTGAAGAGGCTATATAAATAAGTTAGTTATGTTGGCTTTTATTTGTAGTAATATTGCTGTTGGGCTTAACTCTTAAAATAAAATGGGCTAAGGTGAAGGAGTTATGAGTTAATTGGCCAAAGACATTCTGATTCATCCGGAAGGAGGCATGTTAGAGGAGCCTTAGCCACACATATGAATCAATGATAAAGAAGTGGTATGAAATGGCAAAAATATGCTGTTTCAACAGAGCATCCCCTGCACCACCGCCCTTACAGTTTCACTCTCAGGTACTAAATACTAATAATAGCAGAAGGACTTGTGCAATTTATAACATGGCAAGAGAAAAAGACAAAACCCCTCAGGTATTGAAGATTGCTGTCAGTGGAGTCACAGAGCTTCTGAGGTTTTTTTCTCTTTCTCAACAAACAAGGTATCTATGCCATTTATGTAGCATGTGTTTGGTGTCTAACATGTGTATGTGTCTAGTGTCTGTGTACTATGTCTCGATCACTTTTATTTTCTAAAATTATTATCATGCGTCTGGTGTTTGTGTAAGCGCTTCATGTTCTAGCTAACAACTGCCTTGTCAATCTACATTCTTCTTTACTTTATCATCAATTACCGATCGAGTCCTACTCCAATTTATTAATATGCAGCATATTGAGCGGTGATATTGAGAAACAGAACAATGAATTCACAGTTTCAAGTGTTGATGATGTTCTAATCATCATCAAGTCTGATTATGACAACGCATATTTTGTCACAGGTGCCTTTTTTATTTATTTAATTTCCCTCTTTTTGCTGTTAGTTTTAAATTCAGCATTAGCTTCTTTTCTGGTATGTTATCTAAAATTGTGTCACTTTTTGGACATATAGGGAACTTCACTTCTTCAATTTATGCAGAAGACTGTGTCTTTCAAGATCCAACTATTAAATTTAGTGGTAAGAATCATAGTTTTGCCAATAACTACTATCATCAACTTAATTGATCATTAACTAAAAGTTACATATTGCTGTCACTCTCTTGCTGTATGAACCTTACAGGTAGGGAGTTATACGCGCGAAACTTGAAATTGCTTGTTCCCTTCTTCGACCGCGCCTCAATTAGACTACTAAAGATCGAAAAGGTAGACATTCTCAGTAAATTAACATTTTTTTTGCTTCAAAGAAACAGCGCCGTGCTTCACTCACGATATACATTCATAATGCAGGATGTTGAATCTGACACAAATTTTCTGCGCGCATCTTGGAAACTGAGGTGGTGCTTAACTTGCTCATCAAGCATGCTAATTTAACGTGCGGGTTTATTTTCTCAAAACATTATATAATCCTCGATCTGATATGCAGGACCAACCTAAAGCTTCCTTGGAGGCCTCTCATCGCTATTGATGGAAGCACTTCTTATGAATTGGATGATGATTTCAAAGTCAGAATCAAAATGGATTCATAGACCTTTCCTCTCATTAATGTGATGGTTTGAGATCCACATTAACTAATGGTTGCAAGTTTTTTGTTTGACAGATCATTAGGCACGTCGAGAGTTGGAATGTTTCCGCACTCGAAGCAGTTTTGCAGATTTTCACTTTCAAGTTTGAAAAATCAGGCGGTTAATACTTTAATCTCACAGAGTTTCGCATTCATACTAAACTCTTTGTTGGTGTTTACATTCATACAAATTAAGGGAAGGTTTATAAATAAAAGAGTTTTATCAAAATGTATTTTACAGCCACAAACAGAAATCAAAACGTACAAGAAATAACACAAATCAATCAAAACATCAATGTTAAACAAAAGACATAATAACCATAATTCATGAAGGACATGATTGTGTTACCAATAATTCTCTTTGAACTGCCTTCATAAGCAAGCTATCTTTTTCAAGAGCAACAATAATAGGAGAACCACCGATTCCACGAGCAACCGCATTCATAATCTCCGTCATTAACTTCTTAAACTCGTTTAAATCCAGTGATCCGTTGTGATCTTCATCGAATCTCGTGAATATCAATTCCAACACACTATCAACCTCGTCTTGTGGATGTGAATATGAACCCAACGGCATAAACATTCCAAATCCGCCACGTACTTGGTCTCGCGAGAGACTACCCTCGCCATTGGTGTCTATCATGGCAAACCATTCGTTCACAAAAGTGTCGAAATTCGTTGCGTCGTTGACGAATTCTGTCAAGGTGTTGCTGTTCACAACTGCTACATTCATTTTTGATATTGTGGAATAAATATCTATGCCAACAATTGAATTTACGTTGGAATATGGTTGTTGATGTTTGCAGATGTATGTATAACGTAATGGTTGCCCTGTGTTCACGTTTCTGACTTTCCGAGGATTGATTAGCCTTTATTATAGAGTATTATTTATTACAATATTATACCAGCATGAAATGCATCATGTAATAAATATATTTTTGTGACAAAATCGTGTAATGTTGAATATACACAACCACACACAACCCTTGGCAGTTGCTTGTGAGTGAATCACAATATTTAATTATCAATAAAAAATTAATATAATATCTATAAAATAAAATTAATCAAGCGAGAGAAAAGAGGTGATACACTAATCGTGTAAATTAATTTTCTATTATCAACCAATTACAACCTTGTATCAGGATAAATTACATTTTAATTTTAAAATTCTTTTAATGACAAACTATATCATTGGTTTTCTATTGGATTACACGGTTAGGTGTATATAAATTAAACGTATATGGATTTAAGCGAAAAAACTACATAAATTTTCAAGACCAAAAAGAAGTAGAATAAAATGTGGATCTCTTAGCAATATGATATGATCAAGGCTATTAGTGTTTACCGTGATAATGTTCTATTAGCAATGGTGTCATAGAGAAGACTTGGAAGATGTAGGGTTAAGAATAGCTTAGCCTTTAGAAGTATTATGGTGTTTGAAGGTTAAATGGAATTTTGGGTGGGTTCTATCCCGATGGACTATTTTGCATGAAGTCTCTAATCATTGTCCTCTTGTTCATAAGTATTTTTCTAGGCTATGGAGCCAAAAGTCTTTTAGGTTTGATAATTTTTGGCTCAAACATAAATATTTTCATAAGGTGGTTGAGAAGAGTTAGAATGAAAATGTGAGTGGATGAGTTTATTCTTAAAGAGATGCTTAAATCCCTTAAAAAAGACCTTAGACAGTGGTACACAGGACAGAGGTGGTTGGTAATATGGACACACAGATTTTTGTTGTCATAAAAGAGATTGAAAGGCAAAATATAAGTCCTCAATTTTTTTTATTCTCAAATTGTTCATTAATAAAATTTGAGGTGATAAGAATGAAATTTTCGATTTAAATTTTTGAATTTTTTTTTTGTACTATTAGAAATTTCAAAATTTCTTGTGATTTACTAGATTTTTTCTGTATCATACTGGAAATTTCAAAAATTTCTGTATCATACCGGAACTTTTAAAATTTTCGATAGTACAATTTTTTCCCCGAAATTGAGATACTGGATTTTTTGAAAAATCTAGTGATTTTTTTAAAATATCCGATAAGAACTCGTGGAAATTTCGAAAATTCCGATAAATCGCATATTTTTTAAAATTTAATAACTTTAGACAATGATATAATAGTAGAAACATACAAAATGGGAGGAGGGAGTCAAGTATAAGAGTGGGGTGTCAAGTTAAATCCTCCGCAACGAGACCTCTTCTAAAAAAAAAGGCCTTTGCGGATATGTGGCCCCTTTTAAAGTGTTAGTACTCGCTCACTTTCTAAGGTTTAATATTCCATCCGTTGAAAGAAAGGGATGTTAATTCCAAGTTCTTTCACGTTAGTATTCAGGCTAGAGGTAAGTTGAATCATATTGTAGTGCTGAAAGTGGGCAATTATTGGATCGAAGAGATCGTGTATGTGCGCTCGAAGGTCCCTAGTTACTTCTATAATCACTTAACCTCTCTGGACAAACATAAGTTAGATGAAGTCATTTTTCTGATTCTTAATCTAGATCAAAGGTTGACCTATCGTCTCGTTCCTTGTAGAAGGAGTTAAATAAAGTAGTTGATTGTGTGATGGGAATAAGAGCCCATTCCATAAGAATTCAATTTCTCTTTCATCAAATCTATGTACCTCTTTATGGATAATTTTTGGACAATGTTTCACCAATACTACGATAATGCTAAACTTGTTAAGAGTTCATCACCTTTTTTTTTGCTCTTGTACTGAAGATTAACTTTTTCCACCATTTAAGGGACCTCAGACCTATTTCATTATCTTTTGGTGTGCGTGCTAGCGATGGTTATAGATCACATTATCTCTCCTAATCAATAAAACTTTGTTAAAGAAAAGTAGTTGGTTGATGATGTCTTGGTGGTGAATGAAATTATTAATTTGGCTAAGAAAACTAATAGAAAGTCTTTGCTATTTAAGGTAGAATTAGAAAAGACTTAGAGAAATTTTGAGAAAAAGAAAGAAAATAGAAGCATTTGCCCCTGGATTTCACGCGTATTCGAATTGATATGAAATCTCTTTCTCCCTTTTGTGTATTCAGAATTGATATGAAATCTCTTGTAGAGTATTGCTCCCTCCAGTTACGATATTATTGTTGTTATGTACTCCCTAAGTAGCTAGACAAGGGCAATATCTTTTCTAAGAAGTGTTGAGACAGTTGTCAACTCTTCGGGTTTTCTCTCACCAAGTGTTGAGTTTGATTTAAAATTCCCATAATTTTGACTTCTTTCTATAATGTTAACTTCTTGATTCGCGATGAAGGTTCTCCCAGGTTACTTTTGCTGGTAGACGTATGATCTTCTTGTGTTTCTCAGATAGTTAGAGATGATACCAATTGGCGTAAGGTGTGGTATTGAGTTTGTGATCCCATTGTCCCCAATCAAGTCTTGGTTCATTTTTTATTTTGGGTTTGCATGGTCTGAGGCCTCTATCCCAGATTCCCCGACAAAGTCTTCCCTCATATGATGAAAGGTCTTGTTCCCTTGGTGTGATGAGATGGAACTATTTGCAAAATGTCGCTCTTTTTGACAGTGTTGGCATTATTGTTGGTATTCATTTCCCAGGTAACTGGACCAGGGCAGTATATTTTTTAAGAAGTGTTGAGAAAATTGTCAACCCTTTGGTTCACCCGCCAAGTGTTGGGTTTGATTTAAAGTCCCCAAGAGTTTGACCTCTTTCTATATCTTGACTTCTTGATTCCCCAGGAAAGCTATCCCAGGGCATCTTTTGTTGAAATAGGTTTGTGTGATATGAAGACTCAATCCAAGATTTCCCAGTGAAGGCCTCGCCTATTTGATATAAGTATTTTCTCCCCGTGCATTTTGAGTTAGACTCATTTAAGAAGCATCTCCCTTCTGGCAGTTCTTGCATTTTGTTTGATTGCCCGATAATCAGGCAAGGGCAGTGTTTTATTTAAGAAGTGTTGAATTGGCTATCAGCTTTTTGGGTTTTTACTCGCCAAGTATTGGGTTTGATTTAAAATCCCCATAAGATTGATTTCTTGCTGTAATGTTTGACTTCTTAACTCCCCAAGCTGTTATCCCCATGAAATTTCATACTTTTTCCCCAGAGAAGTTGGTTCAATACTTACTCTCGATATTGAAGAACATATCTCTGTTTTCCCCAGTGAAGAACGTATCTGGATTTCCCCTCTTTGATGTGGTGTTGGTATCTCCCCATTAAAGTCAGCACGAGGTCCCCCGATGATATCTCAATGATGAGGCACTATCTTCCCTAGTGAAGTATGTATGGTATTTCTCCATTGAAGTCAGCTCTAAATCCTCAGTTGATGTTTTGCCGATATGGTGTCCGTCTCCCTTATTTGAAATCAGTATTGCAATCCCCAGTAGAAGTACAGACTGTGAAAGCATTTGTTTTTCCATTGAAGTCTGAATGCTATTCCCCGGTGGAGCCTGGAGGATGATGTTATATCCCTATATCTCTATTGTTTTGTCGCTATGATTTGTTTACTTCCGGATTATGTTCCTCCCCAGTGAAGTTAAGCCGCAAATTAGGATTTTGCTTCCTCAGTTAGTTCTTATTTTCTTTTGGAATGTTCATCTTGGATGTGATTTAGCCGAGTGTTGTTTGTGTCCGAGTTGGTTTTGTTTGTTTATCCCCAGTATTATATGTCTGTTTTGTCAGTATATACATAATAACACTCATACATTCATACACACATCATGCATAGTTAAATTTAGCAAATCATTTCTCATTAACATTCATTAATATTTTTGTTGACATATTGCCCTATTTTACAGAGTTGTGTTATCCTCTCTCCAATAGAGTGTCAGCCTTAAGCAGAAAGTGTATATTCTTTCAATTTCTCCACTGAATTATCCCTCGTGGAAGATTTTTGTTTTAGCCTTCCTGTACAGCTCTTTGTTTGGATAGATTGGGTTTCCCTCTTGAGTTTATTTCTCAAAGGATTTATTTTGGTTGACAGTTTTACTCCAGTTTATTTCTGGTTTGAATCTTTGTTTCCCAGTAATATTATTACTTTGGATTTCTGCACGCTTCGAGCCTTGGTTTGAGGATGTGCATTTATTTCGCACGAGAAGACTTTATTTCCTCAGCAAGAATATATTGGCATTCCCCAGGAAGTCATATTTCATTCCCTAGGAAGTCATATTTCTTTCCCCAGGAAGCCATATCACTTTCCCCAGAAAGTCATTTTTACAATCCTTCCTATAACAGCAAGTAACAGGTCTCTTTATTTGAGCAACTTGTACTTCCCCGTAAAAGTCGACACTACTCTTTTGCTATCTTCTCTATGAGTGGATAGTTTGCAGTTTGTTGTCAAATTACTCCAGTGGATGGCAAGTCTTTCAATATCGCAGAGACAATTCATTGAGAAATCTTTATAATTGGTAGTCTCTTTATTTGAGACAACTTATGTATTACCCTTTCCGGGAAGAATGTCTTGGTTAAAGAAGAAGTTAAGATCCGCTCTTGGTGAAAAGTCATGATTTTGGGAAAATTGTTATTATCAATCCTTCCTCTCTACCTTTAACTATTGAGTTGGTAGTTCACCATCATCTGTGAGTCGATATCTCTTTATCCTCTACCTTCAACTATTGAGTTGGTAGTTTACCGTCATCTATGAGTCAGTATCTTTTGATCTTCTACCTTCAACTATTGAGCTGGTAGTTTACCGTCATCTGTGAGTCAGTATCTTTTTGATTTTCTACCTTTAACTATTAAGTTGGTAGTTTATCGTCATCTGTGAGTCAGTA